GTGTGTGTGTGTGTGTGTGTGGCCTCTGCGTCCTTGTTAAGCACAGGTGGCTCTGCAGGACGGCTGTAAAGGCTGCTCCTCCTGGCAGTATCGCCTGGAATGACACCCAGAGGTGACACACTGTCACACCCACAGCAGGCACAGGGCACACACACACACACACACACACACACACACACACACACACACACACACACACAGCCCACATTGGCTCTGACGAGAGGATAGCTTTGAAAGCATCGTGCACGCCAACATGGCCATTTCGAACAGTTCGAGTACAAACAATGACTTATTGATGTGCGTGCAGAACGCGCCACAGTGGAGAGTAAAGTAAAAATACAGAAACTACAAAAAAATGTAATTTATGACCCTGTGAACACACAGGGGAGTAGAATATGTCAGCAGAGTTGTGTGTGTTTTTGCATCCACCCAGTTTGAGTTGTGGGGAATATAGGAGGTCATTTCTCTGCATGCATGCAAAATAAAACAAGTTTCCAAATAACTGCATACGATCAGGAGTTAAAGTTTATTGTGCTGTATTTATATTTATAATGTGCATTACAGCAATAAAACTTCAGCAAATGTGCCTCAACAGCACATTGTATAGCACGTTTTAGTTTTCCCTACTAAGTGTACTAAMTATGCAATCAAGAATTTTTATATTCTTAAACTTTAATCAAATGTATCTTTCATCTACTTTATATTCATAAAACTGCCTACAGATGCAGTATTGTAATCTTAAAATTTTGTATTGTTATTCTTGCTATATAAATACGTACAAATAAACAAATAAATGCGATTACTCAGAAGCATAACTTGCAAAATAGAAAATGCAGACTCGAGAAATTACAATAAATTTAGTATAGAAGAATACAGTATTACATGGACTTGTATTATTAATGCAACGGCGCCCCCTGCAGGAAGTTTTCTGTCAACGGGATGTCAGCAGACAAGAAAAACAGAATCAAAATTTATTTATTAAAATTTCTTGATGAATTGAATTTCCTTTTATGCCAGACTTGGATTAAACTATTCTTCTGTTGACAGGCAGTAGCCAAACATTAAACACAATGCCTGATTATGTTCAGCTACTGCCTCACCAAATTTTATTTTCAATGTCTCTAAAATTGAAAGTTACGCCAATGTTTGTGTTTTATAATGTAGATAACATTTTTGTTTAAACTTATCCATGGCAACACCGGAAGTAGAAAGCTGCCAGTTCTCTTTGGGGAGTTTTTTTTAATTATGGTTTTAACTTATTTATTTTACATTTTTGGATTTAATTATTTTTATGAATAAATGTTAGATATTTTGCGACCTGTTGTACAGTTTATATAGTTTTATATTTTTTTGTAAAACAAATAAGCGTATTTTGGTTTTTCGGTCACGTGACCAGGAAGCTGTCCCACTTGGCGCGGGAGGACTCAGGAGAAACTGATCTCCCTCAAWTCTGCAACTGGTTTCCCTTGTTAACACGGTAAAGAATGTTTAGTTTTCTTTTCATTTCACAAAAGTACATTTATCTGTACCTTAAAGTGTCACTTCCTCACCCCCCCCCCAAAAAAAGTGCCTAAATCTCACAGTTTACATATTTCACACCAAATTTTAGCTAAATTTATGTAAAATTGAGTTAATAATGTTTGTTTATTAAAATTGTTTAGCTGTGGCAGATATCTTGATTTAGGCTAGCTTCAATTTTGTATCAGTTCATCTGATGATTATTTTCTGAGAATAGTTAAAATACAATTTAGTGGTTGGTAACAGACACAAGCAAAGAATTATCACTGTTTTGCCATAGGGAAAGAAGTAAATACATAAAACATTGATATTCTTTTTGTTTTTATCGTTTGCTGAGTGCTGGACATAAATGAGAAAGACCCTCTTAATCATTTTTTTAAATAACCAACTCAGAGGTGCCCAAAGTAGGGCCCGTGGGCCAAATTTGGCCCGCCAATCCATTTGATTTGGCCCACCAGCAGTTATCCTGGTTACTAGATTGTAATCTCCTGTTTTATGTAGAAATGCTATATTTGCACTTGGTCTTTTCAAACATTGATCCAACTACATGTACAAGGACCTGTAGTCAGATACTCTTAACTCATGGTACTCACTTTATCTTTGAATTATCTTAAGATTAAACTTAAAATACAAGTAACTTCAAGAGACATTTATATTAGATTTGCACTCCTTATAAGACCACATATAATCAAAATTATGAAAAGTCCCATGAGCCTTTGCTGCCCGAGCATATGTTGAATTTTCTCCATGTCCACGGGCTGAAAAAACAAACAATTAAACAAGAAAATGTGGGCAACTGCACTGGCTGCTAGCTTAATCATAAAAATACAACTTTACTTGAAGTATTTGCAATTTGTGTATTATATTATTGCATCTGGTCCACCACCCTCAGACTGATTTTAATTTTGGCCCTCTCAGGGAAAATGTTTGGGCACCCCTGATCTAACTCATTGGCCATCCAATGAGTAATTTCTGAAAGTTTCATTAATGTCTAACCATTAGTTCATGATATTTTGCTAACAGTGTCAGCTTTAATACACTGAGTCCAGCTGCAATACCAAAATTTAGCGCACAGAAACTGAGCTAGTCATCTTGTCAACAGCTTTCATGACGGAATCTGTTCCAGATTGTTTTACATTTAACCTTTTTGTTCGTTATTCAATACAAAAGGAAACGTGACAACTGTTCTGCTGGTTCACGTCATAGTAAGGCCAAAGGAATGAACCAGCTTTACTTGTTGCTCACGTTCATTCCGCTCACTAAMCTGAGATTTACAGAAAGCTGCAAAATGATGCAAACTCTTACAACTTTAACTGATGTCTAAAAGGTTTTTGTTTTACAGGAATAGAATACACAAGATCCGTGGGGGAAAAAAAAAAAAGACATCCAACGTACAGCAACAATATTGTTTATTTAAAGAAATTATATTATTTTAATTACAATATTCATTAAGTTAAATTTCTTTGAATCTGACCCCCTCTAAGGAAATATTTACAAAGTTCACAGTCAAATCGATACATTTGGTTAACAGGAGAAAAAGCATCTCAAAGTTTGTTGCTTGCAGTTTCTGAAAAGAACTAAATATAACAACAGGCTTGGTTAAACAGGTACAAAAAGTGGATTTAAGGCAMGGTACAAAAAAAAGTTAAGCCCTTAAAAAAATAATAAGTGGGCAGCGGCATTCATTTTTATCAAAAATRATGCCAAAATGAGGTCTTTGGGTTTTAAAAATAAGGAAGCTATAGTTAAATCTTCCACTCGGAGCACTCTGCTGTACCTCCAGCACCAGTGTAGCTCTGTCCAAACACAAGTGCAACTGGTCCAAGCTTATGTGTCCCTGCAGTTTGATTTATTGTTTTCTTTGTGTTTTCTTTTTTTTTTCTAAAAATGTCAAATCTGAAATGCTGTCAGGTGAGAGGATCTCAGTCTAAAGAACTGTAACCATTAAAAATTCCAACGAGAACACAGATGTCAGGAAAGACAGGGTGAACTGGAGAGACTGGRTCCGGGCCGAGATCAGTTCTGCCTCTGGGGTACGCAGCCTTCCATCTCCAGGACTTCGGGCCAGCCCTCGTATTTGTTGGTGTCCGCGCTGTTCTTTATGTGCTGGGAAGGAGCAAAAACACAGGTTATACCAGGGGAACCAGTATTAAGAACATGAACGGCTCAGATTGCCTGATGTTATCAACTAAACAAACAAACCTTATAATTAGGCCATCTTTGAGAAAAGAAGAAATGAGATTGTGCTATAAATAATTAACAGAAGCTGGCGTGTTGCAAGCTTGTGTCAAGACACACAAACAGGAAAAACCTGCAGTGAGCTGCCGAGTTTAGTTTGTCAGGAAATGACAACTACTGCTCAACTGTTTTCACTTATATGGATCCTGGGTTCATGCGTCGTGACAATCTGGAGGATAAAGATCAGCGCACGAGAAGCAAAAATATTGGTTTCAAACCCGTTTGAAACGGAGCACCAACGCAGCTCACCGAACCAGTTAGATCAAACTATTTCAGCCTGTTGTAGAACTGCTGTGTCTGAACACGGTTTGGGTTTGAACTCGCTCAATTTGAGTCATTTGTGTTTTAATTAAAATCTGCAAAGTGCTTCATAAAATATTCAAACAACATTCCATGACCTTCTTTTCACCGAGATCAGCTTACCTGCTCAAATGGACTCTTCGTTTTGATGCCTTTCCCTCCTACAAAGACCCAGTTATCCCGGAAGCCCAAACTGTTCACGGCCGTGCTGCCCATATCAGCAATCAGCTTCTTGGCTTCTTCGTTGAGCCTACAAACCAAAAGTTATGAACCTTAAAGCACGATCGAGTTCCTGAGAGTTCATTTCAAATCGACTGTGGAAAATATTAAAGAAAAGGCGTTCTTACTTTGTAGCAGCGTCGTCAAACGACGCCATCATTATAATTGTCCCCTCTTCGACTTCTTTCAGGAATGTAATAAAAGGAGCCACATCTGCACAAGTGTACGCATGATTAATACAACRCAAGTGTATTTAAATGACTGAAAATAAGAAATCACTCACCTCCTGCCCACATGTCAAAATAAGCCGTCTTGATAACTTCCCCTGTTTTTCCTGGAGAGAGAGAGACCAAAAAAAAAAAAAAAAAATTTCTGAACAGAGTCTAAAAAAATAGGAAGCAATATATAAGC